AGTGGTTCAGTCCTGAGTATCTGAGCCCCCAAAGGGTGAGAAGGGCCCCTGCATTTGGCCAGGGATGGGGAAAGGCAAGGTGGCAACAGGAAACTGGTTACACACCAAGGAAGTGATCAAATAAACAGATTGAGGGTACTAGGAGCCAGGTTTGTCATTTCAGAGAAGGGAGCTACAAATAAAGAAAATAAAACTAGAGAGAGCCCCATGATGTGGGGGTGAAATTGGAGCTATTGATGTGAACGTATAGGTCTCAATAAATCTAAGTGTAAAGGTGTTATAGGTACATTCAGGTATCCCCTGGTTCTGTCCACTAAGAGGGTCTTGTAGCTACAACCCCCCTGTAGCAATGGCCATGACTAGGACCCAGATCTCAGCTTCTAATTGACATTTCCACTTAAAGAATCAGAACTCCTTGGGGAAATGGCTGATTCAAGAGCTAGAGCATGGAAAAGTACAAAGTGAAAATGAAGCATTTTAGGCTAGAAAGTAAGGAAATGCTCAGATAAGGACATGTTAAAAAGAAACAGGAACTTTTTGACAAGAGTGCCAAGACAATTCAATGGAGAAAAAGTAATCTTTTCCAAAAATAGTGCTGGAGTAACTGGATATCCACAAGCAAAATAAAGTTGGATTCTTCTCTCCACCATATACAAAAATTGACTGAAAATGAATGAGATTTAAATGTGAGCTAAAATTATAGGCCTAAATCTTCATGACTTTTGATTTAGCAATGACTTAACTACATTACCGAAAGTATATGCAGCAAAAGAAAAAAATAGATAAATTGGACTTTGGCAAAAGTAAACACCTTCGTGCTTCAAAGAACACTATCATAAAAGTGAAAAGACAGCCCACAGAACCAGAAGAAATATTTGATAATGGGCTTACATCTAGATTATACAAACATTTACAATTCAATAATATAAAGATAAATAGCCCAATTTAAAAATGGGCAAAGGAACTGAATAGACATTTTTCCAAAGATATGTGAATGGCCAGTAAGCACATGAAAAGATAGCATCATTAGTCTTCAGAGAAACGAAAATCAAAACTTCAATGAGACACCCTAAACACTGACTATATGGCTATAGACAAAAAGACAGGTAATTACAAGTGTTGGCCAGGATGTGAGAGACTGGGACCCTCATACACTGCTGGTGGGAATGCAAAATGGCGTGGCCACTTTGGAAAATAGGATGGCACTTGCTCAGAAAGTTAAAACAGAGTCATCTGTTTGATAGAGCAGTTCCACCCTAGATATATACCCAAGAGAAATTAAAACATACACTCACACAAAACCTTTTTTTTAATGGAAATACAGTTGACTTACAATGTTGTGTTAGTTTCTGGTGTACAGCAAAGTCATATATGCTCTTTTTCAGATTCTTTCCCATTATAGTTTAATACAAGATATTGAATAGACAAAAACTTTTATGAAAATATCCATAACAGCAATACTCATAATAGCCAAAAAGTAGAAGCAACCCAAATGTCCATCAACTGATATATGAGTAAACAAATTGTGGTATGTCCATCCAATGAAATATCTCTCAGCACTAAAAGTGAATGAAGTTTTTACCCAATATCTTGTATTAACCTATAATGGAATACAATCTGGAAAAAAAAGAGAATCACTATGCTGTATACCTGAAACTAACATAATATTTTAAATCAACTATACTTCAAAATAAAATAAAAGCTATGGGACTCCAACTTGGGAGAGGCTTCCTAAAATTAAAATAGTGCTTCATGCTACAATGTGGATAAACTTTGAAAGCACTATGCTAAATGAAAGAGCCAGTCACAAAAGACTGTGCATATTGTACAATTCCATTTCTATGAAATTTCCAGAATAGGCAAAGCTTATGGAGATAGAAACTAATTAATGTGCAGTTGCCTGGGGCCTTGAGACATGAGAATATTAGTAGTAGATAGCTAAAGGGTATGAGGTTTCTTTAGGGAGTGATGAAAATGTTCTAGAACTGATTGTAGGGATGACTGCACAACTCTGACTATACTAAAAATCACTGAATTGTATAGTTTAAGGAGGTGACTTGTATGGTATATGAACTATATCTTAATTGTTTAAAAAAAAAGAAGAGGGCAGCTTGAAAGGACTCCCACGGATTGCATTTGGGAAACTTTGCAAAGTAAATAATGAAGCAAATAATGATAGTAACAAATTATAATTCATTTAATACAATAAAATGCCATTGAATTTTTTCACAAACAAAGAATAGAGAACTTTATAAGTAGCAGAGTATATACATAGTCTCAAAGTTCCTCCCTGAAAAATATGTATTAATTACAATGGAAAAAAATTTTACAGGAAGAAACATGGCAGATACTACCTTACTCGTTTGATCAAAGTAATGGGATTAATCATTATACCCCACTTGGTTAAGATACAGTGAGAAGGATTCAGCATCACTTAAGTGATATTATTGTCAACAATTCATAATCTGAATTGAATCATGAGGAAACATGAGACAAAACCACACTGTCAGACATTCTACAACATGGTAACTGGCCGTGGAAGTCAAGACAAGACGGTCAGTTACAGATTGAAAGAGACCAAAGAGACAATGACGATTCAGTGCAACAAACTCGACTGTGTCCTTTTGCTATAGAGGCATTGTCAGGATGATTGATAAGCTTCATTTATCTCAGTAGTTGATGGCAATAATGTTAATTTTATGATTTTGATGATGGTATTGTGATTATTGGGGAGGATGTCCTTGTATTGGAAATACAAAATAAAGCATATGTCAGAAATTTATTCTCAAATTGGTCCTGGGTGCAGTAAGATCTTTATACTTGACAACTTCTGTGTAAGTTTCAGACTGTTTAAAATAAAACAAGAAGCCATAATGTGTATAAAATAACTGGTCTGCATTCTTTAAAACTATCTATGTTACAAAAGGCAAAGAAAAGTTGATGAATTGTTCCCAGCTAAAGGAGATTAGCCAGAACTTGAAACCTAAGTGTAATGAATGATATTGGATTAGATCCTGGAGCAGAAAAAAAAATAATAACATAAAGAACATTATTGGGACAATTGGCAAATTTTGAATAAGACCTGAAGATTATATAACAACTTTGAATCAGTGTTAAATTTTCTGATTTTGACCATCATACTGAGGTTATGTAGGTGAGGGTCTCCTTAGGGAAGTACTGCAGCGTTTAGGAATAAAGAGGCATAGTGTCTGTCACATTCTCAGATGCTTCAACAATATTTTTATAAGTACATAGGAAAAGAGAAAAATAAAGCAAATGCAGCTAAGAAATGAGTATGCTGGAGCTCTTTGTACTATTCTTGCAACTTTTCCATAAGTTTGAAATTATTTTAAAATAAAGTTTTAGAAAATAATGTAAAGCCTCCACACTTCTGAAGAATGGAGTGGGATAGGCAAGTATGAAGAAGGGAAACATCAGAAAAAAGCCACATTGTTTCTTGTTTTATCTTTATATTCTGGCATTGTTTGATTTGTTTTATGATATAAGACATTCATATATTATTTATCTAAGTTTCTAAGCAGAGGAAAAATGCTGAACAGCTATTAAAAATGAGATAGAGGTAAGGTCCACTGACATGTAAGAATGACACGGCCTATTGATAAGTTTTTAAAGGGCAGTTTGTAGAGTAGCAAGGATAATATGAATCATTGCCACAAAAAACTTAGTTTGCATATGCAACACTGTAACTATCAGCCATACTACTTTTGAGGGAGGATTAAGGAGAGGACTTTGTATACACTTCAGTCTGTTTATTTTACAATAATTTTGTGTTCACTTATGATTTTTAATTAACCATATAATACATGTAATATTCTTATTATGGAAAAATCAGGTAATATATTTATTGCTTTTAAGATACATATTACTGTGGCTAAGAGAAGGAATTGTTTCTTAAAGGATAATTGGTATTTTAAAATAAGGAAATGTGAACTCCTTTCAAAAACAGGCAATAACTAAATATAATGGTTATGTAAGTATGCCTCTCTTAATAGATGGTAACCCTTTAAAATAGTGCAAATGCCCAGCCATAAGGGTTTCCGATTCCCTTGGAGGGGTAGCGAGCTGCACCTTGCCGGGCTCTCCCACCCACGCTCGACACTCCGGGCAAAACATAAGGCACCACTTACCTCTCCAAACCCGCAAAGCTCTCCCACTGCCCAGAGGGTGCACGCGAAGGTCACGCTGTTCTTCCCTCAATTTCTACTTGGCAAGCCCTATCTGAGACTATCGGCCCTCACCTCCACTGTGAGACCTTATCTGGCTTTTTCCAGGCAAGGGAAGGAACCCCGGTCTTCTCCCTAGCCTAGCGCTCCCATTCTTCACAGGGGAAAAGATCTAAGGCCTGATCGCCAGCACCACGACCAGCCCATAATGACCCGAAAATAAATGCCTGTACAGGTTGCTTTGGAAAGCTATTCGGCAATATATTAAGAGCAATGAAAATGTCCCTATCCTGTTGACCCAGTAAGGATCCTGAAAAAAGAATCCTCCCGGAAACAGGAAGCCATATATTTGGTCGTTTTGGTTTGAGCATTATTTTAATGCTGCAAAACTAGGCAAGCTGAAATAGCTAGCAATTGAATGATTATTTTACACAGTAACATAACTATTACTCGGCTATAAAAAGCATATTATATGGACTATAGCATCTGACAAATAATGTAGGAGGCACCTGAAGTAGCAAAGGCTGAACACAAAATTACACGTTCATTCACCTTGACTAAAATTATGTAAATTAAGTGTGCAGTGAAAAAAAAAACTTTCTCCCCTTTTCGTAAGGAACGAGGGCGATGATTTTAGGTTTGAGCACTGGGATATTTTTTCCCTTCTTTCAATTCTATTATCGTTACTCTAAACTTTTGAACAGGGTGCAGAGGTTGGAAGCCCCACTGAGAAGACTCTCAGCATTGTTTATACGATTTCAAATCAGAATTATTTTCAGCTGGAGGGACGTATTTTGCACCTCGACGGTCGAGTAGGGGCCAGGGAGAGGGAGATGAGGTTCCCAGGGTCTTTCGGAACAAAGCCAGAGGCGTCGAGTGCACCTGGACCGAGGAAGGGGCCCCTCGCCCGCTGCCCACCTCCCCCGCACTGGCGACCGCAGCCCGCCTGGGCGGAGCTGAATGCCGGCTGGCCTGGACCGATCTCCGGGGATCGGTCCCTTTAGACCGGCTTCCCCAGCCTGCACGGCCCCACCTGGACCAGCAGATCTGCCGACCGGGTCTAAAGACTCGGGAGAAACCCGGGAAAGGCTCACGACTGCGGGCCGAGAGCCGGCGGCGCTTTGTTCGGGCGGCGGGCGGCCTCCGGGTTTCCGGCCCCGCCCCTTCCCCCTCTCGGCCACCCCGGCTCCTGCTCCCGAGCTCCGCGGACCCGGTTTTCTCCGCTTCTCTCTCCTTCCCACCGCCTCAGTCCCCGCTCAGCTCTTTCCCTTTCTGCCATCTTCACTCTTGCCCCCCCGCCCCCCATCACCACGACCCCCTGACCGGCCACCACCACGACTTTCACCACCACCGTCACCCCGAGGACTGGCCAACTTTGCCCCGACAAGCGGACTCTTCAGGAGAGTTCCCCCGCGGAAAAGCAGAGCGGCCCAGTCCAGAGAGGCTGGCTGCTTTCGTGGAGATCAAGACGGACGCCTGAGCATCCTGGCTCCCGCGCTCCCGACCGCGCCTGCCTCGCCCCTGGGAGAGGGCAGGACAAAGGCCGAGGCCGGGGAAGGGAAAAGCAGGACCCTGGGGAAGGAGTGACCGTGGGTGGGGACACTGGAGACGGCTACCCGGCGGGTCACCTCCACCAAGTGACGCTGAGAGCCATCCGTGGTCTGCTTATCTATCAACGCCAGGATTCCAGAGTGGAGCACCCACTCCGCACCTTGCGATATCCCCACGATTGTTCCCCATCAGTATCGAGGAGCTCTTTCAAGAGAGCGAAGTAGTATATGAACACATTCTCATCCTCTTAAAAAACCACTTAAAGTCAGAGGCTCACAGGACACACACCCCTGCCACACTCACTTCTTTCGGGGCAGCGCTGTCCCTCCTGCTCTCCCTTAATACATTTCAGGCTTCACAGAAGTGTGGGCTGTACGTGGTGGTTATCTCTGCACACTTGGCCTGACACTCCGCAATCGCCCCGCAGCAGAGGCGACGGAAATCTTCCGCGGGGAAGGACAGAGCCCCGCAAGAAATTTCTTAACAGAGTTCCGCACAGTTTGTCGAACTGTTGGCGTAAGAGATTTTCTTCCCTTGCCAGAAAAGGGGGAAAAGAAAGTTTTTTTTTTTAAAAATTAAGGGAAAGGACTTCCCCCGCGGCTCAGTTGTAAAGAATCTGACTGCGAATGCGTAAGACACCGGTTGGATCCCTGATCCCGGAAGATCCCACCTGCCGTGGAGCGACTGAGTCCTTGTTCCACAACTTCTCAGCCAGCGCTCTAGAGCCCCGGAGCCGCACTGCCGAGCCCACCCGCCACAGAAAGTGAAGCCTGTGTTCCCTAAAGCCCGTGCTCCCCCAACAAGAGAAGTCACCGCGACCAGAAGCCCGAGCACCACCAGAGAGTAGCCCCCACTTCCTGCAACTAGAGAAAAGCCTGAGCAGCAAGGAAGACCCAACAGAGCCAAAAATAAATATTTTTTTGAAAAAAATTAAGGGAGAGAAATGGGATTAAAGTTTAAAGGAACAGATCTAAGAGAAAAGTAGGCTAATCTTGTTCCACAGACACGTGCGCGCACAGAGAGCTCAGATACATTTGCTCTGTGTTCATTGACGCTGTCTCCGGCGGGTGTCTGGGTTCACCTCCCCGCCTTCACCTCTCCGCCGGCTCGTTCCCCGAGGCCCGGCCGCACACCACGGGGTGGGGGTCGGGGAGAGCTAGTCCAGCGGCCGCCCTAGAACAAGGCCAGCCCGCGGAAGGCTGTCCAGCCCCTCCGCGCTCCGACCTCAGCTTCCCGGTCTAGTCTGCCCGCGTGCGCAGTCCCCGCCCGCTGCCGTTCCCGCGCCCGGCCCGGAGCGCGCCTCTGCCGAGGACCTTGACCTCCCACGGACCTCGTCGCCTCACTTAGCTCTCTCTGACCTGCTTTTGAACCCGCTAATCCTGTCCTGAACTCTCGCCCAGCGGCGATCCCTCGCCCCGGCCCCGACGCGCTAATTCCCGCTGACCCAGCCGCCCAGCCGTCACTCTGCTTGCCCGGCTTTGAAGCGCGCCAAGGGCTGCGAGCCTGCGATCGTCTGGGGCGGTGATGCGCGGGCCACCGCCGCCCCGCATCGCTGGCACCCACGCTCACGCGCCCTCTGAACGCCACGGCCCCGTGTCGCGAGCATTTTTTTCCCCTTCTCTTGCTTTCCCCTGTTTCCTCTTAGATTAACTCGTTTTTTGTTTTGTTTTGTTTTTTAAAGAAGTCTACCAGACTCACAAAGATCAAAATCTCAGGTAACACCCCATACTGGCGACGCTGTAGAGAAGCCGGCACGTTCACAAGAGGCTGGCAAGCAGAGAGGGCACAGAAAGGGTAAGGCGGCCCCGGCTGCCAGGAGTAAGCGCCAAGGCACGGGCGAGGGCAGAAAAGGCAGGGTCTAGAACAGAGGACAGAGTGACTTCATTCCTATTTTAAGGGGAAGGAAGGAAGGGTTGATATTTGTCCCACACGGGGCTACAACTTGGGGCTTCAAACAGTGGGGTCTGGAAGACACCTGCTTGGCACTTTATAATCTTTTGTGCTGTTTTGAATTTTTTTTCCCCTCAGATTCATGTTTTCCTTTTAGGAAAAAAATAAAACTAATTGTTTAAAGAGTTAATGAAATTAGTGCACATCGTTAAGTGCTGGCAAACCAAGGTGTGGGTCCGCATGTTTGGGGGTTTTGTTTGTATGCTTATTTGTTGTTTTGTCAGCCAACTGAACCTAACAGGAGGCAATGTGTTCCCTTTTTGGCCCTCCGTTTACTGCAGTTGGGCCGCTGAGGCTGTGCTGAGTCTCTTTAAGGAGAGTTATTTTCAGAGAGGGTTCTGTAGCCAGGAAAACAAATCTGTGGTTAGTCGCGCTGGCATACCCATCTCTGAACCACCAGGTGGACTGGCCCTGCAAATCAAACTCCAAGGTCCCCTACCTTGAGTTTGGGGACTTGGCTCTATTTGCTTCACAACTGTCCGCCAATACCTTGCACCATACCAGCATATAGTAGTAGCTCAGTAAATAGTCGTTGAATGAAGATACTCCAAAGAGTGTGACAGAAGCTCTCGGAAACTGTTCTTAGTAAGTATAAATTCCTGACGACATCTGGGAGTAGGGGAACAGGCTCCCTAAGGGACAGTCACGGGATCACGAGAGGATCTTGGCGAGTCGTCAGGACATTGCCAGCATCCCCCCCCACAACCCACCCAACCCCAGCTCCAAGAATCCAATACCCACTGCCAGGCAGTTCCTATGTCCTGGCCCTGAGTCAGGTGATGGAGAATTCTAGCCTCCCCATACCTCTCTGCCCAGTAAAGAATCTGCCTGTAATGCTGGAGACATGGGTTCAATCCCTGGGTTGGGAAGATCCCCTGGAGAAGGAAATGGCAACCCATTCCAGTATTCTTGCCTGGAGAATTCCATGCACAGAGGAGCCTGGCAGGCTACAGTCCATTGAGTCGCAAAAGAGTCAGACTGGACTTGGCGACCAAACAACAAAACAATCCCTGGACCTACGTGATCCTGTCTTTCACGGCACTCCTGACTGGACCCAACCCGACCCAAAGAGCAAGGAAGCCTTGGGCTCAAAAGGGAGGGGAGACTCCAGAACCAGGGTCACCAGTGATGGGGTGCCAGCAGCACTGTGCTTCCTTGCTTCCCTACCAAGCTCAGCCTGGAACCCCGCCTGCTGGTAATGCTGATCACAAATGACCACTCTGGGGTACAACTTGACCCAAGATGCTCGGCTGTCCCTGTGCTGGGAACTTGGAGCTGGGGTGGTTGATGACCTTGAATGTGCACCGTGGTGGAGGGCACAGTCAAGACAGAAAGGAGCTGCGTCAAGTTGGTAAGTCACTGCTAGCCAGCCAGACACACGAGGCACAGACGGGGAGGGAAGACAGCAGCTGCCCTTGATGAAAGCAGGGAAACAAAATGCTTTCAAACCTATTCTAACAACAACATTTAAGAAGTTGTTTTTCTGGGTACGTTCTAATTGTGGCATCCCACAAGTTGGAAAGATGTCAAAAGATATAAAAGGGAGCCCTCTGGCTGCCAGCACACTCTCCAAGGCACACCTCGTCAGAAATGCCTGGGGAAGGGTGAAGGGCCTGAATCCTGCCCACCATGAAGCCCCTGCCTCTGGGCAGGACTCTGAATCTTCAGTTCAGGCTACTGTTCCTCGCATCCTTGATTCCTTCTTCCCTGGGAAAGGCCACCAGGAGGCTGGTGATCCGCAGAATCTGTCTTGGGAGCTAAGACATGGCACGACTGGAACTCTAAATACGTAAAGCTCAGTAGTGTGGGCACCAGGATCCCCAGCGCTCTCAGCTTTAACTCTTAAATGATACAAGCATCAGTATTGTTTCCTCCAGGACCCACAGAGTGCCAGATTCTGGATAAAGTGCTCACATGCATTAGATGACTCCTCATGCAGCTGCAGGAGGTTGGTACTAATGTTATCCCCATCTAAGAGATGAGGACACTGAAGCACAGTGAGGTGAATCAACCCATTAGGAACTAGTCTCAGTAGAGCCAGGATTCCAGCCCTGACTAGCAGAGAGCCAGGCTCTGAATCTTTACCTCAGAGTCTGTAACTCCTACAAGCCTCCCAGTCCTGCTTGAGCCTCCCCTCTTTAGACAGAAGTGGAAAGGATGCATCCAGAAGGAAATGGATTCGGTGGGGACACACAGTCAATGGAACCCTCTTCCCTGAGCTCCACCAGTTTCCCCCATCTGCTCTCAGAAAAATTCCTCTTTCTTCTGGCCAAGCAGGGAACCCTGAGCTAGGGGAGCCCCCACATTCTCACACAGGTAAAATGAAAACAATCAGATGTCTATCAGTAATGAATGGATAAACAAATGTAGTATAACCATACAATGGAATGTTATTTGACCATTTTAAAAAATGAAGTTCTGATACATGCTACAACATGAATGAAACTCGAATCATTAAGTGAAAGAAGCCAGACTCAAGATCATGTATTATATGATTCCATATATATGAAAGTTCCATAATAGCTAAATCCATAGAAACAAAAAGTAGATTTGTGGTTTCTTAGGGCTGAGGCGAGGATGGGAAGTTGTGGGTAATAGTTAAAGGGTACAAGTTTCTTTTCTTTTTTTTTTCATTTTTAAACTGAGATATAATTGACATATATTTGTTTCAGGTATAAAGACATGGTTCCATATTTGTATATATTGCAAAATGATCACCACATAAGTGTAGTTAACATCCATCATCACATATGGGTACAACTTTTTTCTTAGGATGGAAACTTTTAAGGTCGACTCTTAGGAACTTTCAAATATACAATACAGCTTTATTAATTATATATAAGGGCTCCCCAGGTGGCTCAGCGGCAAAGAATCTGCCTGTGATGCAGGAGATGCATTCTGTCCCTGGATTGGGAAGATCCCCTAAGGAGGAAATGGCAATCCACTCCAGTATTCTTGCCAGGAGATCCCACGGACAGA